GACTGCAGCCGCTGGTGACGCCAAGAACGGTAAGACGGGGCCGGAGGGGAGAGCGCCAACTTACTCGCCGACGGGGACGGCGCGTCGGCGGGGCCCTGGGTGGCGCGGGCGATGCGTGGACAATGCGAGAGTCAGGAAGTGCTCACCCCGCCCCTCCGCCCCGCCGCGGCTGCCCCTTCCCGGTCCCCACGCCCGGCGGCGGCGATCGATCGGCGGCCCCGGCTCGGTGTCCGCGCGGCGCACAGGTCGCGCGCCCCGTGCAGCCTGCGCCCCAGACTCCAAGGGACTCCTGGGTGCCTGGCTGCGGCGGCGCTCCGCTCGGGCCCTGCCCTTCGTGCCCGCGCTGGCAAAGCCGAGCGTGTGCCCCGGACCGGGGAGAGAGAGGAAGGAAGGGAGGAAGGGAGGGAGGAAGGAAGGAACGAAGGCAGGCAGGCAGGAAGGAAGGAAGGAAAGAAAGAAGGAAGGAAGGAAGGAAGGAAGGAAAAAAAGAGCTGCCCAAGTTGAGAAGAATGGTCCGATTGAAAACTTAGGCACCAGTTCCTTCTTGCCTCTGCTCCCCTCACCCACCCGCCTTCCCCTCCCCAGAGTGAAGGAGAGCCTCAAATCCCAGAAAACCGAGGCTTGCTGTGTCGATTGCCACAGGTGAAGAGGCCCCAAAACATTTTTACTGTAGGGTGTGTGTGTGTCGCTGGGGGTGGGGGTGTGCTCTTTAATTCTCTTGCTCGCTTGAGGAAGGAAGAGAATCTGAACTTGACTTCCGTTCTCAGCCCGGAGTTAAAAAAAAAAAAAATCATCCTCTATTTAATTCTGCTTCACACTTTTAGAAGGAAGCCTAATAATCTTAGGTAGTGCCTGAATGCACCTTTTGAGGGTGCATTTAAGGAATAGTGAAGATGTGACAGGATTGCCGTTGTCACTGCAGAGGCATAATTTTAGTTATAGGGCAAACACTTTTTCGGGCAAACACTTTTTCGGACTTGGACTGTTCTTTGAATTCCTCTGGTCAGGCAGTTTTTCAGGACAGGGAATATAGGTGTATTTTAATGAAGGGAGATTAGGTTCTTTATATCTGGCTTTTAACTTATAGGTTTCAGCTTTTGAAGCCATTCTTTACGCAGATCACTCACTTTTTAAACAGGTTACCTGCACTTAGAAGAACCTGACAGTGATCTGAACAGAGGAGATTAAAGGTAGCCTATTAGGAGCAGAACCTTAGGCCACATTGGCTGTGTCTCTGCAGTTTTGAAATGGGAAGTTGTTGTTTTTTTTTTTTCCAGAAACATCCCATTTGTGAATGTCTGAAAATACAACTTTTGGCCAGACTGTATTCTCCATGTTCTTTTGTTTTCCTCGCTCTAAACTTCCTTTTGGTATTGATGTGGCAAAAGGAAAGAAGACAGACTCCTGGCTCAGCCATTTAGAGTTTTGTCATCTTGGGGAAGGACGGCTTTTCTGAGCCTCAATGTCCTCACCTGTAAAATTGGGGAAAAGAATTATATACTGATTGTATTGGCTCCCTCATAAGGTTATTGTGAGGCTCAGAGTGTCCCTTCCCTACCCAGCCCCCAGTACTTGTTTTAAAGGCTTGTTACATTTGTAACAAGCTTAGTAAAGTTTCTCAAGAAAAGTAAGTGATCAGTGAATGATAGCTGTCATTCACTCGTTCAAAAGATATTAAACATTTACTGTGTTACAAGTGCTGTGTTAAGTATTAAAGGAGAGGTGGCAATCAAGAGAGGACATCTGCATGGGTCTGGTATTCCCAGGGTGTTTCTGGCTTTACCCTCTGCTGTTTTATTGTCGGAGTGGAAGCTTCAGGTTGACTGTTGCCTCTTCTTCTTTCTCCAAAAGATGAGGCCACTTTAAGGCGATGTGTGAGGAAATGTTTTTCTCGGGGTGGTGGTATCTCCTCATTCGTAAACATTAAGCTACAGTTATGGTGTCCCTGTTACTGCTCTCCTCTGAAGTGGCAGTCTAAGGTATATTTAGCAGTTCTGTATATATCTGTGTGAAGGTATGTATTTCTGATTTGGAGCTTGTTTTACTAAATGAATGGGGTGGGGGGGGAGGAAGAAATGGGGCAAACACTGCAGTAATTACAGTTAGAGAAGGTACAAACTTGAGTTATGTTAGAGCAGTGAGTTGAATTTTATGTTGCCAAATTCTTGGCTCTGACCTGGTGTGAAGTCTCAGCGAATGGTGCACCTTAATTTAAAGAACCTCTCACTGCAGTTGATGACAATCGAACATAGATGCTGAGGCCTCCTGTGTGCAAAATTGGTAAATAAGGAAATTATAAATGCTTTTTTCTGTTGTTTGTTTTTTGCTATTTAAAGCTGTGCTTTATAATGTAGGGGTGGGAGAGGTGCCATTGGTGAATTTTTAAAGGTAGGGGCAACTGATATGTGCAAACTCTCAGAATCAACTGATAAGGCCCAATTATTTTTAAATTTAAAAATGACATTAATCAACTATTATGGTATTTCTAAGTATATTTCAATATTTTATTTAGCTGTGACATTAGATTTTGTGATTATAAATATTACCAATCAAACAGTTATTCCAAGGGTGCAGTAAATCTACGTTCTATTAATCTTTTAAACAGTTTGTTCTCACTGTTCGAGTCATTTGTGATCTACATCTGCAAACATGCAAACTTAATGACTTCACCTTAAAGTTAATAGTGTTTGTTTGTAGTTGTATGGAGTTTATAGAATGGTTTTATGTCTTGTGGTTCTTGGGCAGCATGGACACCAGGGTAGGATAATATTAGTTCTTAGTTTTTCACTGTTAGTCAGTAGTTATAAATAACTACTGATTCTATAAAAAAAGATTTGCTAGTTAGGGAAAGCTTGGGGAAGCCAGGGCGGGGTTGTAATTGAAGGAGCTGAACTAGTTGCAGTTGTGCTTCTTGGGTAAGTTGCATGTCAGTTGTAGGGACTATATAGCCCTAAAAAGAAATTTATTAGTATTTTTAGAAATGAAGCTTTATTTTAGATATGAAGGTTTATTTTATTTTTAGATATGAAGGTTTATGAAGATTTCTGTGGGGACTGGAGTAAAAGCGCTGTCCTCTTCCTATATAGTAAACATCTGTCTGCACATATTGCAACATTTTGATTGTAGGTGGACAAGATTTGCCAGTCATTATTTTTAGGATCTAGTAATCATTCAGTGGGTTATACCCACATAGTCTCATTCTGGAATTCTGGTTCCATTAGGCCACTGCTTTTTTGCTTGAGGCCTAAAAATATATGAACCTTGGTCATAGTATCCACTTTTTAATGGGTCTGGATTCCCAAGTCCTTTTATAAATTCCTGTTTTATGGATGACCATGGTTCACCACTCCACTCATTCCTGACTGCCACCAGAACCCCTGGGCTGCTGAGTTTGCCTTCATTCATTCAACAGTTCTTTGTAGTTGATGGAGTCAGTTTACCTGGTGATTGACCTTGCATTCAGTAGACCTGGCTCCTCAAATTACTTGCTCTGTGATCTGGGGCAAGTCATTTGACTTCTCTGAGCCTCAGTTTCTGCATATTTAAAATGGGATTATAGTACCTACCCATACATATATAATAAGATATCTATATCTATTATGTATTATTTATATATACATATATACACACATACATATATATACATATATATACACACACACATATATATACACACACACAGTGACTGACTTATATGATATGAGCTTGCTAAGGGTTAGCCACTTGTCTTAGATTCTGGAAATAGTGTTTGAGACAAAGATTTACCTGGCAGAGGTTTACTGAATGTGCTCTTGGAATCGTTACTGGTGGGGGAGTGAGGGAAGCAGGGCCGGGCAGAGGGAGGAGTTGAAATGTGATGCAGTGATTGCAGGTAGCTCCGCAGCTAGGATGGTCCTGCAGAGTTATCTTACCTTGAGGCATGAGGGCGGGACCTCCTCCCCCTCCCCCGCCATGGACTGAGGAGTGACCTGGGGGTTGTCGTCTCTTAGCTGGAGAGCCTCCGTGCAGAGGGAGCACGGAGCCTTCAGCGGTGAGTGAAGGAGAGCTGCTGGTCGTATTAGATTCTTCACTCAGACCACTAGTGCCATTCACCTAAAATGCAGGCGTGGGATAAATAGTTCTCAGGAACGACTAAATCTTCGCAGAACAGGCCAGGAGGTAACCATCATAATACAGTAACATTGTTTTGATGGAAAATGTGTTCTGAATTTAATACGTCTGCTTACAAATAGATTTTTGGAGTGCCACCTCTTCCCCGTAAACACGAATCGTATTTTTCTCATACTTAGGCCACCAAACACACTTTTATAGTCCTAGGTTTGTATTATATTTTAAATAGTTTCTCTTTTTAGGTGTTTACTTAAATGTTTACTACATTTATTTATTTATTTTTAAAGTTTATTTTATTTATTTACTTATGGCTGCGCTGGGTCTTCGTTGCTGCGTGCGGGCTTTCTCTAGTTGCAGCGAGCCGGGGCTACTCTTCGCTGCAGTGCGCGGGCTTCTCATTGCCGTGGCTTCTCTTGTTGCAGAGCACGGGCTCTAGGCGCGAGGGTTTTAGTAGTTGTGGCGCGCCAGCTCAGTAGTTGTGGCGCACGGGCTTAGTTGCTCCGCGGCATGTGGGATCATCCCAGACCAGGGCTCAAACCCGTGTCCCCTGCATTGGCAGGCAGACTCTTAACCAGGGAAGTCCCTCTTTACTACATTTAAATTACCTGTATCCATCAGAAGGAAAATGCAGAATGTTTGCCTGCTGTTTATTTTAAAATCAAGGAATATTTATTTGAAGGTCTAAGGTATGTAGAGCACCATTGTCCTCTTGGAATTTTCTTACCTTATTTAAAAGTTAATTTTTTATGTCTTTGCAAATATCTGTTGGCTTTAGACCTTGTATTTTGAAATCCACCTTTGTAATGGAGATTGGTAGAAAATATTCCCTCATCCATCAAAGCTTCATGTTGTGTACTTTGTATATTATAGTCAGAACCATTCCATGCTCTGCTAATGGTGTCTTATGCACAGTCCTTAATCTTTCTCTTTTTACTTGTTACAGGACCTGAGCCTTAAATTCTAGAACCCAAACCTTCAATGTCAGCTTTCTTATAAGTCCAAGAATATATATCATTCCATAGAGAATTGAAAACAGGAGATAAAGTGGGAAATACCTTGCAGCTTAATCCTCCTATGAACTTACTCCAGGCTGTTAGCTATGTACAATTTAAAGAGTTTGAAGGTATCAAAAGGAAGACTCTAGGAAAAAAGGTCTGTCTTGATTGATTTTGATCACCAGCTCCTTGGAATTTTTAAGGAGTTGATTTAATTAAAAATATTTCGTTATTTTATTATTTTGC